ACATGAATATGGGCGTTAATGTGGGTGGGCCGTGAGCAGGAGTTGAGGTTAGCTCTCCAATGATGTTAGCAGTGACACTTGGCAATAGAGAACCTTGAGGTTGTGGTTTTAATCGATTCAAATAAACCCAGATATTTCCATTTGTCTCCTGGAAATCCCTTGCTGATCCAGACAATTAAACTTTTCAAATTAGCTGATTGTTTTGCTATTTATAAAAATAACTATTTTGTAGAATTTTATTTCTTAAACATAAACCTTTTTAATTTAGGTAATGCATGGATAGGCTACACTGCACATGGTAAACCAATATCCATGCATTAACTTTATTTCAAAGAAAATTTCAAACAAAGAAAGAAAATGCACATCATGTCAAACTAATATTATGTTAGTTACGGATTTTTATGCCGGGCAGCACAAAGCTATTTTTCCCACAAAACGTTGACTAGAGCTGCACCATTTCTCACTTCTTCATTACCTGTTCTTCAGAGAACTATGCTGCTTGCAAGACTGCAAATTCACTGCCATTCCGCTCCAAAAGTCGACATGTGTTCCTGGTGCTGCTCATTATTAAATTCACTATTATAATCACAGGCCAAACATTTCAACCACTACAGTGTTCTGAATTAGAACCTTTGTTTTTTTTAGACGTTACGTGAGATTATTTCACTTACAAAGTCTTGTTATAAGTGAAGTAATCTGCCAATAGAACTTCTATTTTTCTCCACTAGGAACTAGACCAGAAATACTTTTGTGTTTTTGCAGTGTAAGAATGGCTATATAAAATATTAAAAGATGATGGGTACAAATCTAAATTTGTTGCATATCTTGTAATTGGAATAAAACAGTTTTTATCCAAATGGAAAAAAAAAAAATTAAAAAATTAAAAAAAAACATCTGGAAGTGTTTGATCCAAACCTTACTCTGTTCACAAAACGGATAAAGGTTCCCAAACAGAACAAAAAAATATGTGGTGAATTTTCTGACGAAGGTGTTTTTGTCTTGTATGCAGATTATTTTTTTTTGTTTCAAGAAAAGATTTTTGCATGAAGACATATTCCTTCTATTCCTTTTTGGCAAAGATCTTGATGAGTATGTTTTTATTCTTTACCACAACATCAAATGGTATTGATGACTTAAGTGCCCTAACCCTTCACTTGTTGTTCAGGAAAAATAGAAGTGCTTTTATATCTATTATAAATTTAATGTGCTCTTCCCAAAGAAACCTTCCAATGTATTACTGCATTAAACATTCACTTGATGAAATAGTTGTACTGTTGTTACCAAGCAGTTCACTCTCATCGAAGAATCAGGTCACATTCACAACACATTCTTGGAAACTAAAATCTAGGTCGACAGCTTAGCTTCCAACCTAAGACAGAATCATGCCATTAACCTGTTGGCTGTCTGACAGCAAAGCCAAGACATCGCCTCACCATTACCAACAAAGTGACATGAGCGTAACTACATCCTGCCTGCAGGTATATGGTACAAGGAAGGGGTGTACTAAGAAGAGCAACGAATCAGAGCCAGACAAACCATTGTCCATTCCGCATTTTCCCTGAATTACGGCTCTTGAATGTCTGGTTTCTTCATAACAGTCAAGCGTAAAATGTACAAGAAATATGTAAGCATTCTCTTCAGCAGCTCGAGATACATTTAACCTCCTGTTGTGACAAAGATATGGTGGGTTTACCATTTTTGTCAGTTCAGCTGCTTTATGCCTTCATGCCTCAGAATAATAAATTAACTTCAGTAAGGGCATTTTATATAGGGTCAACTGCAGACACAAATTACAAACACATGATGACAGCAAGCATTATCATGATTGGATTTCAGGGGTAACATATGTTATGCAGAGTAAGTATAAAGTGGTATAGAGGACAGTTATGAATTGGAAACCATGGGAAGTTTTCAGACAAAAATCAAACATGGCAAAGATGCATCCCATCTTGATAATGTACGACATTAAGAAGGTACCACAGAAGAGAAAGTCTGTGTGTTCATTAAATACGTCACAGAATATGAATGGAGAAGTTCTGCCATTTCTGTCATTGTCTTCTTTTTTTCTTTTGCTCATTCAATGGGGGGTCTATACTGTTCGTAGATGTGCCCACATGCTCAACTTTTGTCACTGTTTGCATCTTGTGTGCCGTGTTCACCCAGAGTGGTGGAAAACGTTTGCCTGTTGCTATTACTTGTTGCTCTCCTTGTGTCGAGCTGAACAGGGAGCTTCCTGAAGACCAACCAAAATTTGTTCTTTGTTTTGGTCTTCACCCACCACATTGAGTTGGACATCTTGAAAAACTGATCAGAAAATTGACCTAGTCTTCCAGAGAGATATTCAAAATGTTCAAAGGTTTCATACTGATGTGGTATTCAGCTCAGTTATGAAATGTTAAGTTGGCACATTTAATAAGGATTCTAATGACATTCTAACTAGGAAACCAAATTTTACCATTGTTGTACAAGTACAGAAAATGATTCACACAAATGTTGTAAATATGGTCTCACCTTCACAATGCAGGCAACACCAAGAGGGCCCTCATGGAGTCATTTATCTTCATCTGTTTGAAGATAAATGACTCCATGACGTGGAGACGTAACTGCACTGTTCACAAGCCTCTCCTGCGAGGACATTCTTTAGATACCTGACTATGGATTTGTTCCTCCATCTTTTACCATCTTGCTTTCAGCCTGTGATTAACTTTTCTCCTGGTTGCAGATACTAATGTTCACTCCTTGGTCAAGGTCAGTTGGGTTAACATTTAACAAATCAGTCAAAAATGCATTATGAAGAGAAGAAAACATATCTATGTCGCCTGACTACAAGTCCTAGAAACAACAAATCTATGCAAAATAGTGTGACTTATAGTCCAGAAAATACAGTGGGGTAATTTGGGTCTGGGAATTGTGATTGGGGGAATTATTTTTGATCAAAACAAAACATTTTTGTGTTGATTTGGTCACATGTGTTGTATCATTACTTTGAAATACCTTGGACATTTTTAGTATAGATTTCACAACAAAGAACTTAGATGCCATGTACTTTATGAAGCATCACAGATTCTCCACCTTACTTAATATTGGGTGTTAGACTCTTCAGCAAATACTTATCCTTTCACTTCACAACAGACCAATCTGAAGTGTTTGTGTTACAGATATCTCAATCTTAATTCATCTGATCGAAGCACATGGTTCCAATTAAAGTTCTAGTAGAGAATGGTGAATGTCACACATTTACATGTGTGACTGGAATTGAAAACTACTCTTCTGGCATCACTCCTGGTTGGGATCTAAATCTGTCAAATGACCATTGTGGAGACTAACAAGAAACGGATCACAATCTTTGCTGCAGATTTCCAACACTGTCTTTTGGAGATTTTTCATTACTCTAACCATCAATCACTGACCATGGTAGAACATTGACATGCCTCATCAGACCAAATGGGTCATGGCCTAAAAAATGAGTCTGTGTATTAGATACATAGGTATGTTCCAGGTAAACAAAAGGTCAAAACAAAAGGATAATTCGTTCCTAGTTTATATAACCTAATTAGAAGTTCCTATGCACTCTATTTTTGTAAAATCGCATTAATTAAATTGCTGTTAACGGCTTTTGGTCATCAATGATTGTGTCTCCAGAGATTGTGATGAAAAATACTTTGGTTCTTTGCTTTTTAGCTTTTTTAGCTGAACTTCTCTGCATTCTTTTGATCCTTAAGCTTAATTGAATCCTAAGCTTTGTTTCTTTTTAGAACAGCTCAGAAGAAAAATGTTTTCACCAGTTTCTAAAAAGAAGCAGATTCCTAACCAAGGATCCCGATGTCTCCATTCTTAGAAAACTGAGCAGTAGCCTGACAACCCATCCTGCCCCTAAATGATTAATAGGAATCACCAGATGGCCTTGTGCTGTTATCAGCATTACCTTCAAAGAAACCCATCCATAAATATATTCTGGGTATTTGTTACAAGAGACCGGACTGCTGTGTAAGTTCAAGATTAAGAATTGATTATTTACCTGAGTCAAAGTTCAAAGCCTTTTTTTTCTTTTCAGTTAAATTTTGATTATTTATGTAATGAATCTTTTGTAACTGGAACAGTTTTTTGACATTTTACAGCAGCATATTTCAAAAACTAAATGAATGTGCAAAAATGCTAATGAAACAAAAAATAATCAGTATTAATTAAAATGGAGACCTGAATGGGGAATAAATGTTGAACCCTTAATATGTAAATTAGTTAATAATTATTTCAGAATATATTTGGTTTCCTCTGTTGTGTCAATGACAATGTTGCATGACTGGAATTAGAAAGTCAGGCTTCAAAGTATGATGAGTAGTTCAAATATCACACAGTTATGGTGATTACATAAGAAAATGATCATCAAAGAGAATTTAGCTAAAAGTGACAAAACATATGGTATTATACATTTATACTTTTTTTTTTTTTGCAGAACATTAAATAAAAAAAGAAAATTATGTTTCTTGCTCTTTTGATTCCAGTTCACATTGGCAAATCCTCCAGCCCACCCCACGTGGAGCAGTACCTTTACTTTAATAAATCTGCACCCGATTGGCTGAAAAGGAAGATGACAAGAGATGGTGGGATGCTTCTGGTGGGGAGGGGAGCAATGTGGGCTAAACTGTCCAGAGATATTTCCGGGCATACTAAACAGATTTCTCACTTACTGCACACCACAAATTTTTTATATGCACCTAAAATGGGATCCCCCAACCTCATGTGTTATTCTGATGCTGTGCTTACGCATTCTCCAAAAGCTTCATGAACATTTCTGTAGCTAGGTACCTCTATCACAGGTTGCATTTTTTAAAAAACAAGTGTATACTAATACATTGATATTAGTATACAATTAATTAATTCCTTAAATACGGAATTAATTTGCATAGCCACATACTACACAGTATTCGCTCTAAACATAAGATGTTTAATGTAACCACCTCTACTCATTTCATGTGCATGAGTAGAAAATATAGATTTACCTTCAGTGGGTGAGGTTTTCAATCGCTTGCACAGTCCTTCCACTGCCCCATAGTCCTCTTGAAGCTTGACCACTGCCTCTGTGCCACGAAGCTCCATCAACGATCGCAGCTCCATAACAGAGCAGCCAAAGCCAGCCGCATGGTTGCCCTCATTTCTTTGGTTCTTGGCATAAAAATCGCTATTGGACATGTCCCCCATGGTGTCAGCTTTCAAGTCAGTTGGATTAGTGTTTGTTATTGCTTATTGAAGAAAAATTGCACAACAGAGCTCAGTCTGATTTAAAAAAAAATCTAAAAATAATTTCAAGCAGGCAACAATGACTAAAATAAAAGAAGAAAATGCAAGTAATTCTTCAGGAACAAAGATTATTACAAAAAGAAAAAAAAAAATCCAAGGATGTGTTGCCTCTGTTTCAAATTTCAACAGACAAAAAATGACACTAAAAAAAAGAAAACTAAAGTCCCGGAAAGAGAGCAACGGTACAGGGGAAGGAAAGGGGATGGCAAATCACAAATGGGGAGCATCCAGGTGCTGGACAGCCCAAGTGGTTAGGTCCTGAGGAGGGCAATGATGATGGTCTCAGGTCCTGTAGCTCTCAGGCTCACCACGGCTGCAGTCCAGACCCGCTCCATGTGTGGCTTCCCATTACTGCTCTTCTGCTTTTGCCTTTGTTGCCTCTTGGTCTCTACGTGGTGGTCCTCCCCATCACTGCTACAGAGAAAGAGAGGGTGTCGAATTCCAGAAATGAATTCGGAGAGGTGAGAGAAGGAGCAGGAAGAAACAGAGAGATAGAGCACAGGAATGAGCGTTGTGTTCTCAGGGCAGGGGTGAATGCAGCAGTAGATGGTGCACAGCTGAAGGACAGCCTCTCCTGGCTGCTGCAGTAACTGTGCCTCTGCTGTCTCTATCTACTGCTGCTGCTGGTGCTGCTAACCTCATTCTGAGTACACACACTAACTGACAGAGAGTGAGCGAGGACATAAAAGACAAGGAGAGATGAGATTGCTCCTTTCTGGTGCAGAGAGGAGAGGAGTTGTGCGCGGGTGGGAGGCTGGGGCTTCTCTGACGACAGAGCAGGGATGCAGAACGTAACGCTGCGCTGTCACAGGGAGGATGGGCTGAGCCATGAACCCGCTGCTGCTGTCTCACCAGTAAGTAAACTGCTACTGCACTCTGCAGCGACTGACCTCTTCTGTGCAGTCACTCTCTCAATGACACATTCCCTAAGATTGCCGTCTAGTAATTATTGACATTAATCAATTTAAACCAGTTATCTTGTCTTGCAACTACAATGCAATTGGAAAAGCTGTACTTAACTGAAAAAGTTCGCTCAAAGCCATAAGCAGTTTAGATACATTTATAGAACAAGTTATAGATAGATCTATAAAAAAAATAGGTTATCTCAAATACCAGAATAATTTTAAATATTTGTGGATTAAATTTAGAAATTAAACCTGTTCACAACGAAGCTACAATACTCAATACTGGAGACTCAACAAGACGTCATCTTATGACCATATTTGTAGGATTTTAAGTTTTTCTGACACATGTTGTGATCAGCTATGTAACTAAATATCTAATCTTTCTTGGACTCAAAGCTAGTTATGTCTAGTTTCACTGGATGTTTTGAAAAATGGAACCCAAAAAAGTCATAGAAGTTACTAGAAAGGAAACTAAGGGACCTATCAAGTCGTTTCAGGTAGTTTGCCACAACTGGAATTAAACAACAAAATATTCAGGAAGTTAACTGAATAACAGAAGTTAACTGAATAACAGAAAACAGATATATATCTTTTAGAAGAGATTAAGAGGACGTACTATGTAACATCAACTACATCAATGTGACTTTAATAATGTCACTGTCTCATCACAAACATACCTGGAGAAATTATTTTGATTCATTCATGCATGTGAGAAGTCATTTAATCTCTCACGGCAAAAACGTTATAAAGATATACTATTTTTGAATTATATATCAAAATATGCAATTATTTTGATATGATTATTTTTTTTGAGTATTACAAACAGAAACTTTCATGTTAATAGAAAAATTACAACATATTTAGAGCAACACGTTTAACTTGTTGATAGTTACAGAAGGTATTGTTATTAAAAATAACAAAACTAAGTAACATCTATTTTGCAGGTCAGTACTTAAAATTTGTGATTACCCACAAAAACTCTGATCAGTTTCTATGTACAGTTTGTAAGAATGGCATCAGTGACTCACATTTGCCACGCTAATCAAGTCTTCACCAGATTATTTAAAGGTTCATCATTAGTAATATTATTCAAAGTGAACCTTTACCTCACCGTTGCCCTTTATTACCACCCACCCACACAGAGGGGGACCTGGAATCAAAGCTTCCAGTTTTGTATTCTGCAGAACCCTGCAGTGACTGGAGTGTCTCTCCATCATCTGTAAATAACTTTGCTTTGAGGTTCTCTAGAAGCCACAATGTTGCAACACCAACATACACTTGACCTTTCTAGATAACAGATCTGACAAAAGACCAGAGGAAACAAACACAGGCTGACTAGTGTGAGCTCACAAAACATGAAATATCAATCAATGGACGAAAACAAAAAGCAATCACTCCTGAACACACTGCACATTTGGTTTTATTTTTTTTTATTTTATTATTAAAGTATGAGTAGATACAGCCATTTGCTGGATTGAAGAACAGATTATACAACATTTAAAAACTACAAATGGTTAATGTGGAGTCTAATATGTTTTCAATAAAACTCTGCTGACATTTGACAGTAAAAAAACAAAAACAAAATGTTTTCATACATAGTATATTGAGGCATTTTTACATGAATACTCCATAAAAGCGCAGCTGTTGGAAAATCCCCTCTGGATGTTTATATTCAACTTGACTTTGTTTCTGGTTAAGTATACAGCAATATCCAGAGCGAGCTATGTATCACACAGCTGTTGAAAAATGCATATGCTGATAAAACTTTGATTTAGCCCATCTTCTGTTCTTCACTGTAGCTGCATGAGAAATCTGTTTCTCAGTTTTTTATGGTTTGGTGCCATTCCCCCCACCCCATTGTGGGACAATAAAGGATACCTCTATTTCTATTTAAAGTTGCTCTAGTTTAAACTCCAGTCTCAACCAAGTCCCCTCTAGTTTATCTTATAACAATTAACATAATACTCAAAACCTTTTAACTTTTCTCCTTATGTTGAATATGCATTCCTTTAAAACCAACAAAACACTACAGATCTCAGGGTAATCTGGTGACAGTGAAACTATCTTCAACTTTTGATAGAAGCTCAAAGCTCTCCAGGTTGTTACAGGTTGTGACAGAACTGCAGCAATATATGACCTTGACACAGAAGAATGGTCAGAGTTTGCCAGCATGTGGATAAACATCTGTGGAACAAAGGCACAGATCCACAAGATGCATTATTGCCCATTAATGCCTGATCCATTTTGAAGTTGAAATGTCAGAGAAGACTGACAATAACAATAAGCCAAATCAGCATTTTGTAAAGATGAAAGCTAATGTTTTGCACACATCCTCATTACTTTTTCACCACATTATAATTTTAGTCATGTATTCTAACACCAAGCAAGATAAAGCAGAATGTTTTGTGGATTTAAGCATAGCATGTGTCTACATGTATAATGAGGGATGGTGTGACCTACACAGGTCAAGACCCTATATCGAGATGTGGATAATTAGTAAGTAGCTTCTTTACTTTAGGCAAGCTGGGGCAAAAAAGATTTTGCTGATTCCGATGGTTTTGTGGTCATGCCCTAATATCTTAGCAAGTTCAAGAGTGCTGAGTCAGTAATTTTTGACTTTTCAAATATTTTTTAGCAAAAACGTCAACAGGATCACAAGAGACATTTTGAGGGGAAAAAGGTGCCAATTATCTGCAAAGAATTTGAGAAGAATCCAGCGTGAAGCTACCCGTCATCTTCCAGTTCTGTTATATTCAATTCCTCCAACTTTCCTGGAGTATCTAAAAGTACAAGATGTTCAGGGTTCAGAGACACTGGTCCTTACCGCTAAGGTAAGGACGGCTGAAACCCGACCTCCAACAACCAAGACGTATAAGCTGACGTCCCTGTGAAGTAAAAATTGTGTTATTATTTCTTTTAAGAATTTTATTTATTTATTTAGTCATTTAACATTAGTATTGTTTAGTCTGTTAAACCATGTAGGTCAAGGAGTCTTTAAAGAAGAGTTAGATAGGTTTCCTTTGACCTCTCCTTGGAAAAGTTTCAGTAGGTTGTCAGTAACTAAAATCAGGTGCCAGTGTTCTTAACAGATAACAATAAACAGGTTAGGTAATTGTAGTGAGATGGAATAAACCCTAAGGCTTAACAAATTCCTCCAAAATGTCACAAGCTAAAGCTATGTGCTAAGTGAACGTACAAAGTCTGATAATGTTCTTGTTATGCAAAATTGTTCCATTAGTAAACCTGATTTTTTGGAAATGCACCTATTTTTGAATAAAGATGTTTATCATCTGAACAATTAACTTACCCTAAGAATGGTGTTGCATTCTCTCTATACCCTGTTAAGAGTGACTGTGCATTAACCTGTTCGACTGGCTCTGGGCCAGAGAGAGACCACATTGTATAGAGAATCCTATATATTTTGAGAGCTTGCAGCTCCAAATCAGAACTCATTGTAGGTACAGCTGTTGTGCTGTGGTTACTGTGTGTTCTCCGTTTGCAAACGACTGAAATAAAGATTTTGCTCTTTGCCATTTGTCAGAGTCTCGAGCCTGATATGTTACAACAGATTAGATATTGTTTTTTCCACAGTCCCAAGACTGGGCCAAGAAATATCTGAAAACTCATTTTTTAAAGGTTTAATGACCAGATGGTTAGACCCATGGCTGGATCAGTAATAGCCACAAAGCTCCACTTGGAGTCAGACACCAGCAAGTGGAGGTGAGGTACTGGTATGGACTAGAATGATCAAAGACATGCTGGATCGATCTCTTTGGGTGGAAAATGGGTTTAAAATCAAACCCAACCTTTTTGAAGGTGCTCTTTTCAAGCAGCAATACAGGAAAACAGCCCACCTTTGAAACAATAAGCACAATTTCCATAAATAAAATAATAATGCATCATATGTGCATGCTAAAAATGGTTAGGAATTATTTATGTTTGGAGAATTAAGACCATACAGAACAGTACTGCTCAGATCTTCCTTGAATTTATCTGAACAGCCTCAGTCAAGGTAGAGGGTAATTCTGGATAACAAGTCTGATCCTTATGCCAACCTTAAAGCTTCTGTCATCTCCAACAGGTGATTAGTGACAAATGACAAGAATATCATTCCAAGTCATTAAAAAAATTGACTCAACAAGTACAGTGCCATGTTTTCTGCAGATGCAGGATATGTTCAAATATGTGTGGTTGCTAAAAATATGCTTGCCTGACAGATTACCTGAAAACAGACAAGGCTTAAATCACAAAAAATAAAGGACAGAAGGATGACGAGAGCCTGTATTTTAGTTCTAATCTCCAGAAATCTGTTGAATGAGTTATTTTCAGATTGAATATAAGAAAAATGTGGAAGAAGGTTTAAGGAACTGTACAGGTTATGCCACAGCATCTGCTCAGTAAAATGTATGTGTTTTTTTTTTTTTTTTACAGTAGAGCTTTGCTTTATCAAAATGAGGATAGATAAACAGTGATACCTACATTTGTTCAAATTACAATAATTTGTAGAGGTAAGATTGCAAAAAATGTACAAAAGAAATGATTGACCGTGGGGATATTTAAAGAGAAGGTGTCAAAAGTTTAAAAGCAAAGAAGAATGATTTAAAATCTTCACATTTTACAAGTTAAAATCCAATACATTGTCATGAAAGTGGTAATTTAGGCAGAGAGAGAGAGAGAGAAAAAAAAACACTTGTAGAGGAATGGATTGCCCTGTAGAAAGGAGTCCAAGATATATTCTTAAACTCTCACTAAAGAGCGTTCTGAGTCAGTGGACCCTAGAGTTGAACTTTTTCATAAAATTTTTGCTCTATGACCAATACCACAATTTCTAGCTAGCTTTCATAACTAGCTCGCCTTCCCATCT